AAATACATAAAAATAAAGTGATATTCTACTGCTGATATACCATTACTAATAACGTAATGGAATAGTTTACCTCTCTGAGAAATTATGGTCCTTATCTTCTCCAAATATTCACAAATATGTCTCCAGAATAATAGCTACTTTAGTATTTAAAGTGTTTTCAAATAAGACAGAAATAATGTCTCAGGTTAAAAATGCAACCCTTTGAAAATTCTGAAGTTAATTTCAGAACAAACTAAAGGTAGATTTTATAAAAGAGAAAGAGGCCTTGATCTAATGCTTGGGTAATTTAAGAAAAAACAATGATCACTGAGTTGAACTGAAGTGCTGATGGTTAAGCAAGCACAGTAGGCAGGCCTACTGAGGTATTGAAGCAAGTATCTTAAACTATGGCCCTGGGGTCAGTTTACTGTGCCATTAAGTATGACTTGGGGCCTAAATCACTAATAAGGGTCCTACGTTATATAAACTATGTATCAGTCAACAAAGGAGTATATATTGGTGGCTTAAAAAAATATTGGACCAAAATGAGAAGTCCAGCTCTGGACAAATAAAATGTCACCCCCTCCCCGCCAATGCAAGATCTCATTTTTAGTCTGACAACTTATATTCCATGGTCCTATAACTATACTACGATTATCACACCACTCTAAAGCGTGAGAAAGAACAGAGATATTCATGAAGCCAGTTAAAAATTCAATGTTACCAACCGATTCTTTCGGAAATGGAGACTATAGAATATGTAATTAAATATATTCATTGTTTAATATATTGGATTTATTCACTAATTCATCGCTCTTCCCCCCTCCCCCATCTATTTTTCATGGATATACTTAAATAACCTAAAGATCAAGAACAACAACAAAAAAGCCCATGCCAAGTCAATATGGGATCTTTCGAGTCTGGTCATTTGACATTAAACAATAAAATCTAAAGCCCATTTCAAAAGATGTACTAAATTCCATCTGAAAATAATTGCTGTTCCTTGTCCTGTGTGTATATATATCATCAATACAACAAGAAAGAATTGCAGCCAGGCCTGGACCACCACCAAGCAATTGATTATTAGCCATTAAAAGGGAAATGTTTACTTATTCATGGCAACTAGTTTTCAGAAGGAAAGCCAAAGAGGTCTGATTTTAAATGCTGCCTTTTCTTTCTTCCTAAAGCCAGTCAAGATCATTCACTTCTTCTTGGAAGTGTCAAAAGCTCATTTTATTTTCCTTTCGCCATTTTAACCAGAATACTGATTTTTTTAAAAAAGGAGAGCAGTTGCTATGAGGCAAAGAAAAATGTCCTGGCAGTTGAGGGCCCTCCATCTATCAAGGGGAATTTGCAATGTTGCCTCTCTTCAATACTGTATAGATTTGCAGGATTTTGTGAAACACTTAGCCAAAATGGAAGGATTTAAAACTAGAATGCAAGATATAGATGCAATCGTTTTCTAAAAAATCAAGATACTTTACTTTTATTTCAGAATTTTCTAGTCTTAAATTCTTAAGCACGCAGCTGTGATGTACTGGATAACTCAGTGATCAGTGCAGCCTGCTTAAATAGACTCACTACGCCACAGACACCTAAAGATTCAAACTCTTACTGATACTGAGATGCACTCGATCCAATTACAGAGAAACATACTTATTATCAAATAATAATACTGACAAACTAGGTAGAGATGCAAAATAAATTCAAGTGTCCAGAACATTAAACAGTATTTAAAAATCTGGAAGTAATGCCAGCTAGATGTACTTGTGATGCTAAGAATCTTTCATGAATTGGAGGCAATTCAGATAAATATTTCCAACATGTATAAAACTTAATATCTTGACTACTTTATTCTATTGACCTACTTACTATCAAACTAATTTTCACCTCCTGGGTTTTTCCTAGCATGAAGAGGCAATAAATACAGCATCTTTCTCTAATAATTCTGGCTCTCCACCTCCTTCTCTCCATTTCTTTAGAAAGCATAGTTTGAATGGAACATCTTCCTGGAGTCCCGAGGCTCTAGCTTAGGGAGATAATTTAGAAAAAGCCCTAGAGCAGAGTCAAGGAGATTACACTTTCACAGTCACCTTTAGAAGAGGGAGGTCTCCACCATGAACCAGGAAAGTTGAATCTCTTTCTAGAACCAGGAGGTAGAATTTCCTTGGGAATTCTAAGCATAGACTAGGGTTCGGGAACATTGTTGCCAGATCAGGGAAGGCAAGGCCAGAAGTAATATTTGGAGTTAATCCCAGATCTAGATCCTCCCCAGAGCACAACAGCTAGATTGGGGAGGAGAGGATGTATCTCCTCTCTGGGAGCCAAATACTAAGAGTAAAAGCAAATATTTGATACTGAAGAGCTCTTAAGTACTAAAGAGTGCCATTTACTTATTTCTACACGTCCAGTGTGGGCTTAGGATGTTAAATAGATTAAAAGGCTAAGAGAGGTCAGTCACTCCAAGAAAGACTCTTCTTTTGCTTCTTCTGATTTGGTTCTCTTTCCAAAATTGTTATCTACCCTCACCCCACTCCTGTGGAGGGCTCTTTGGAATTTCAAAAGATGACACATCCTTTCCTAGAACATGCCAGAGAATGTGGAATCAGACTCTTGGGATGAGTGTTCCAGGACTGGAAGGAAAGAGCAGATCCTCACTGATTAGTACAATGATGTTGGTTTAGATTCCGGTTGTATGATTTATGGAATCATGAAACAGGTAGGGTTCTTAGAAATTACCAAGCCTATTCTGTTTCAGAAAAGAAAAAAAAAAAAGAGGTTCAGAGTGATGAGGTGATTAGGCTAGTCAGAGGTAGAGCCAGGGTGCCAACTGAATCCCAGGGCAAAGCTCCCCCTACCCTACAGGGTCTCACAGTTCAGACTGGAATTTGGGAGTCTGTGATAATGTCTCCCCAGATCAGTACTCTCCTTCCAAATCTGAGGACATGGGCTGGCAGAGCTTGTCTGGTCTCTGGCTCTATTTGGAGATAAGTCCATGAGGCCCTGGGTCAGTCTGTGACCTGCCCCATCTTTTAGGATGCTAGGAGCTTGGGTTCTGGGATGGCAGTGCCCAGCAAGTTTCTGATTTCTGCCACCTCCTCTCTACTCCATGTTCCCTCTTCCTCCCAAACTCAGAGAGAACAGCCAAGTCGTTTCCATTTAATCTTATTTAAAAAGACATAACTAATAAATCTACTGCCAGGCTCGGAGAGAGGGCCAGCAGTCGATCGTGCTCCCAACCCCATTGAACCCCATTGAAAACCATGACAACACGGGACAAGCTCCGATTTATCCCGGCGCGCTAAAGCGCATTGTAAGCAGGCGTCAATCACGCATTATTTCGGACTGAACAAATGCAAAATCTTGACTGGAACAAACGCTTCCAACAGGTCCGGGACGTCGAGCTCCATTTCTCCTTTGTCCCAGGCCTAGCAGTTGGCCTGTATTGGGGTTGCCTCCGCCCGACCACCCAGTGCGCAAGGCAGCCCCCGGCGCCTTCGGCATGCTAGATAGGGAGGCTGCCAGGGAGAGTGCACCCTGCCGACTGGGTCGCGGCTCCTGCACGGACACCAAGTCCGAATTCACCTCCGGTGGAGCCAAGACTTAGGGTGCTACCCCCCAGGCGATGCAGTAAAATTTAGCAACCAAATAACCAAACCACTGGCAGTAGGAGGGAGCAGCCCCTGAGCGCGTGCTCACTGAGCCCTATATTGAAGTGCCGCCAAAGCCATGGGCCAATAAAATGTACCCAGGAAGGGAGCCTCCCTGCGCCTTATATGTTGATTTTTTTTCCGAGTGGGACCTAGTTTTACGGGGACTAGAAGATCTTGGAGAAATCCTGATTGGGGGGGGGTGCAAGGGGGGAGTCTTTTCTGCTCGGCGGGCTCAGTTCAAATTTTCCCCATCGATCCATTCCCAGACCTGGCCGGGCAACTGTTACCTGGTTTTCCGCAGATACTGCAGGGCCCTGCCATTAAGGCCACGGAGCCTAAGCGCACAAGCGGCGATGCCAAGAAGGCGCCAACGACTTTGCAGGCCGCTCTGAGAGACACACAGCCCGCGCACACTAGAGCGAGCAGGCCCCGGCTCACTCTGAGGAGTGTGGCCATTGGGTCCCAGTCCACGGCCGGCAGCGACCAGGCCACAGAGGCCAGCACTTCGGACCTGAACAGCTTGGCCAGATTCCGCCTCCTTTTACCAGTCTAGGGAAACAGGCACAGAATTGGGCTCCCTGGAAGCTGCCAGCAACCAGAAAGTTGTGGGGGGGCGTTTGGGGTATGGGGAAGCACCTAGAGCCGCGGGATCAGGCCACTCCTCCCTCCCGAAACTTCTCTCCTCTGAATCTTTTGAGGGGGCCGTACCAAAATCAGAAAGAGAACTCGAAAGTTTAACGTTGCCTTGTAAATCGCTTTCCGGATAATTGCGGGAAACGAACACTCCAGCACAGTAGCTCAAGGAATAATGCAAACAGGGAATAAATTCCTGGGTGCTCATAAACCCACCCGTGCCGCCCCCACCCTTCCCGGAGCTCCCGCGGGGCCAGGCCCCAGGTTGGCCCAGGAGGAGGAAGCTGGGGATGGGACGGGCGGGTGGTGGCTACTGCTCGCCACCCAAGATGTTATTCACTGGTAACAATCCCCATTATCTGTCCCCACTTTGGGCTAATCAGACAGAATCGCTAATGCCGAGGGCTGCTTCCTGCCGCCTCTAGGAGGTAACGGGGCGCCAAGGGGCGGGGGATGGGGCGGAGCGGGGGGCGGAGGTGGCACCTTCCGGGCGCGTTGGGGCTTTGGTCCCGCGCTCATTCAGGTACTTAACACCCTGGAGACCCAGACCTCGGCTTTCAAAACTCCCGGGTGGGAAGGGCTGTTTATATAAACAGGGATTGGGCTGTAAACGCGCTAATATCCCGGCAGCCCGCGCATGGCGTGCGCCCCTCGCGCCCGACCGTAGGCGCGGCGTCCCCGTCCGCCCTTGGGTTCCCAGTGTACCCGGCCCCCGCCTCCTTTCCCTGCTCGGCCATGGCCACCTCCGGACGCCTCAGTTTCACGGTGCGCAGCCTCCTGGATTTACCCGAGCAGGATGCGCAGCTCCTGCGGAGGCAGGAGCCAGAGCTTCGCGCCCCCAGGACCTGCGCCACCTGGCTGGAATCGGAGCGGGGCCACTATCCCTGTGAGTAAGCGGGGGGCCCCGGCGGGGGAGGGGGGCGCGCAGAGCCCGACCCCTGCGGGACAGGGACGCCCAAACTCTGACTCTCGGTCTTGGAAGCGGAGGCTCCGTCCTCCTCAAACCCTTGTGCCAGGCGTCCCTCTCGGCACACCTTGAGCGCAGATCCCTGCGCCTTGCTGGGCACTGACGCCCGGGGTTGGGCTCATATTTCTAGAGGTCAGAATAGTTACCGGCTTAAGGCGTCGCTCTTAAGTGCCGGAAAACAACATCACGTCCCCCAGCCTCCGTCTGGGATGGGCAGCATGGGCAAGCCTGGCTCCTCTGGATGTTTTTTTTTTTTATTTTTCAAACCTCGGCAACTGTGGACTTGGAGGTGGCCGGGGTTGGTGACCCGGCTGGCGTAAATTCGTCTGCCGGCGCCGCGGCTGGTGCCGAGGGTCCGCGAGTGGGTGGGCTGCGGTGGAACGAGCTTCCCGAATAAGGAGGGGAGGGGTGTCCAGATGTGGCCCCGGGAAGGAAACGGCCTTGCCCCGAAACGCGGGCGAGCGAGGCGCCTTCGGGCCGGAGGCTCGACGCCCGCGCGCAAGTGGGAGCCGCGCGGCGGGGCCGGCGTCTCACCGGGTCGCGTTGCTTTTGCCGTCCCCAGCCTCGGACGAGAGCAGCCCCGAGCCCAGCCCGCCCGACGCGGCGCCGCGGCCGTCTCCCGGCTCGGACGCGGAGAAGAGGAAGAAGCGGCGGGTGCTGTTCTCCAAGGCGCAGACGCTGGAGCTGGAGCGGCGCTTCCGGCAGCAGCGCTACCTGTCGGCGCCCGAGCGCGAGCAGCTGGCGCGCCTGCTGCGCCTCACGCCCACGCAGGTCAAAATCTGGTTCCAGAACCATCGCTACAAGCTGAAGCGCGCGCGCGCGCCGGGGGCCGCCGACCTGGCCGCGGCTGCGGAGCTGCGGGCTCCGCCGGGCCGGCTGCGCCGCGTAGTGGTGCCGGTGCTGGTGCGCGACGGGCAGCCGTGTGGGGGCGGCTGCGGCGAGGTGGGCTCGGCCGCCCCCCAGGACAAGAGCTGCGCGCCCCGGGCCGCGGCCTGCCCTCTGCCCCGCTATGCCGCCTTCGGGCCCTGCTCGGCGCTCGGCCTCTTCCCCGCCTACCAGCACTTAGCGCCCCCCGCCCTGGTCTCCTGGAACTGGTGAGGCAGCTGCGGGACGCGGGCGCCTGGAGCGTCCCCGGACTTGGAGCCGGAGCCCGAGACCTGGAGCGCTCCCCGGGCACCACCTCCCAGTGGGCACCGCCTCCTTCAGCGCCACCGCCCTGACCAGCATTCGCGCAGGGAGCTTCGCCAAGATCCCCCTCGCCTCTTCCCTCGCCCACCGGCCCCAGAGCTAGACTTTATTGCCTGGACCTTATTTGTATATTTTTAAATAGCTATTTGTATGGGAAGCCATTTATTTTAAAAGAAATAGAATATTTTTTCTCAGTGTGGTGCAGAATAAAATGCATAGGGTTGGGTCTTCTTGCGTGCTTGCCGGGAGTGTAGTTGGGACCTGTGCTTTCCGGAGGGCAGTTCTGAGTCAGGGATGCCCTGTCACTTCTTCACTGGCTAAAACCCACCCCAGGTGATCCCTGCCCCCACAAGGTTTTAGGATGATACTAGGGGCAGGGGTGGAGGGGCGGGCAGAGCAAGGTACGGGGAGGAAGCAGAGGCCACCTTTGGGGTCCCCATCAGCAAGAGGCAGCTCAGGCCCTGAAATGACTTGGAGGCACCTAGGGTTCCAAGCGCTGCTGGCCTTTCAAACACCAGAAATCAACCTAGTTGGCAGAACATAATCAGTTTCTCTTAAGGGTTCTCTGGAAACCGGTCCTCGGCCCCGGGCAAATGCACCGCACTCTCTGTGGCCCAGGCCTGGCTATCAACCGGGTGTTTGCGGAGTTCAGCTGCAGAGGGCTTGGAACCGGAAGTGCACCCCTCGGAGAACTTGTAACCACCAGTTCAGTCTGCGAGTGCCTTGGTGGCTGTGATTTCCTACCTCTTGTTGGTGTGACACCTGGTCTGGGTGAGGAGGGGGTGGCTCAGTGAAGAAATCAAAGACTGATGGGGAATGACCCACTTCAGGGCTTGCAGCTAAGGGAGGATGCTTTGGAGAGCACTGGTGGCTTGACATAGGTGTGGGATCTGCTGATTGGTCTCATTTCACCCACAGTCCCAGTGCACTCTAAGTTCTAGGATCTAGTTTTCACCCCTGCAGGCCCTAACTGCTTTGAGCCTGGGGGCAGGCCTCTGTGCCTGGGAGAGGCAGTCACTCTCTCCCAGAGTAATGATCTCCCTAGCGCCTACTGCAGGGACAAGAGCTTGAGGAGAGCAATTTGGGGCATTAGATACAGCAAGGGATCCAGGACGTCTGTGAGGAGGAGGATGCAGTGTTATCACCTGGGATTTTGGGAGAGAGGGAGGAGGGGGAAGGGAGTGGGGTATTTGGGTCTCAGCTGCTGGCCACCTTGCCTTCCATATGGATGCGGTTATCTAAGAAGAATCTCTATCCTTAAACCTCCTTTTGTCTTGGGAACTGAAAAGGGCATTGTCAGGCCTGAAAAGGACCTAGACAAAATCCGCACTGTTTCGATTCAGGACTCTGTTTAATCAGTCCCTGGTGACAATGTAGTGGGTGTTAGTGAGGACAATGGTATCTTTTTAAACCTTGTGGCCTTCAGGAAGACAAAGGGTTTGAATTTTATGGGCTTACAACTTCAATTATAACAGTGCCAGTGTGATGGGAGATTATCAAATTTGTATCATAAAACCTCTTTCTAATAAATGATTGCTGGGGAGGGAGCCATGACATTGTAAGACATATATTGGAAACTGCCTGGTGGCTTCCCAGTTAGCCCTGGCAGAGCAGATGGGAAAGAAAAGGAGGAAAGGATTTCTGAGGAAGAACAGGGACTTACCCCCTATAGTCAGCTGGCTGGGTGCTTGGCTCTTCCCTGTTCTTCCTCCATAAAGGGGTGGTTTTCTCCAAGAATGAAAGTAAAGATTCATAGCTTGTTTGCTGCTACTGGTGACAAAGACATGAATATTCTTGGGGAGAAAGTGCAAAAGAAATCACCACCAGTTCAGGTTTTTTTACTAAGTGGAGAGACCCTTCGATATATAAGGTCCACAGGATCTCAACCAAATTCATCCAGAAATCTTACAATAACAAAGGCCATTTACCTGCTTCCCAGTGCTGTGATCAGCGCTTAAGCAGGAGACCTCCCAGCACACCAACCTTTTCTGGAAAGGAAGAGGCACAAGTTCACTATGACACTAACATCGGGAACCACACTATATAAACTGTTACCTGCTTCCTTTTGCTGCTTTTTCTTTTCAGGCCCCTTCCTTTAGAGGAGAAAGGCTGCAGGGGAGACTTAAAAGTGTACTCCATCACCTCTGATCCACTTTGGAGACTCAGGCTGTCATTTTTTTCTGTTTACACATGTGATGAGCTGGAAAAGATAAAAGCCAATTTCCTTATAAATTTACATTTATAAGGGTTTGATGTTTATATAAAATCAATTATTTTTTGGTTCTGACAAGAAAGGTTAAACCCAAGACCTCTCTACCAGCAGCTGTGAGGATACTTAAAATGTTCTTCCCTAATACTTCAAACTGTCACCCATCACCAACATCACGAGGTAGATTCATAGCAAATTCATAGCATTGAAACGATGTTCCAGGTTTTGTACTAGGTGCTTTCATAGTTGATATCACAGAAACCTTATGCAGGTATATGTGATTACCTCCCCCCCATTTTACAGATAAGGAACTGAGGCTCAATGTTTGAAAGTAAGTGACTTGTTCAAAGCATTTGTAAGCTTGAGAGAATGCCACGATGGATTTTGATGTGGCAGCAATATACACACTACCCCTTGGCAAGAACTAGTCTTTCAGGTAGTCTGGAAGGATGAGAGAACAAGTCAAAAGCACCCTACACAGGTCAGAGCCACTTACAGAAGCTGATCACATGTTGTCATAGTGTTTACTAATATTTCTTGATCTTTTTTGTGTACCAGGCAGTATTCTAAATTATTTTTTTCATATAATTTTTTTCAATCTTCACAACAATCCCCTGAGATGTCTCTACTGTTCCCACTTTGCAGATGAGGAACCAGAGGCCAAGGAGGTTATAAGCAACTTGTCCAGGGTCACAAACCTAGTAAGTGACAGAGAGGACCTTAACCCAAGCAGTCTGATCTCCAGATCGCACCTGTAATGACATGGTGGGAATTATTACCCATTCTTTATGTTTTATTTCTCCCAGTTGATGTGCCTCGTTACCTTACAGATGCTTCTCCAAGAGACATGTTTTTTACCATGTTTCAGTCTCCTCCCTTCCTCCTTTTTCCTCCCTCACCCTGCCCCCACCTCCCCATCAATCAAACCTCCAGCTTTTAGATACACACACAGCCTCTGTGTGTCTCCTTGTCCAGCTGTCAATGAAACACAGCCCTTGTCTGCAGGTCACAATATTTTCCTGTGACTATCATTCCCCACCATTCTTCTTTCAGAAAAACATCTGTTACTACTGAGTCAACACCAGTTGCCTACTTAGTGTTCATTTGGTAGCGCTGCTACAGGCTCTGAGAAACTCCTCTTAGTTTTTCCCGCTCCTAGGCCTAGTTGCCTTGAGGTTTGTGACTGACTTCCCGAGCCCTTTCTCCAGTCATCTGTTTCCTTCCTAGGTCTCCAGTGTTATCTTTATTATGAAATATCATCCTCTTCACATTTTCTCTCTTCTTCCATTGTAAACATTTTCACTTCATCTCACTTAAGACTCTTGTGGGTGGAGATTGCAATTTTCACTTCAATTTTCTTTCCTCATTGTTCAAGAGATCTTATATCTTAGCACATCTCTTATCTGACCAATTTAGCACTTTAGAATCTTAGATAATGTGCTACTGATGGGCTAGAAGGAAGTTATTTGAGTCTGGGTTAACCTATACCATCCCTTCTAACAATGGTGTTTAGATGTTTGTTATTCTTTTGCCTGTTGACAGTTTGTCTCTTGACCACCACCACCACCACCACCACCACTATACACACACACACACATTCACACACTTCACTACCTTTAAAGCATTTTAGGCTTAGGAATAAAATGCCCAGGCAGAATAGTTAAAGTTTGGGCACAGTTAACTAATTTGTTAACCATATTTTCTACTCTGGATATTTCATTTAGCCTGCTTAGGTGGGTTATCTGTAACAATGAAGGATAGTCAAAGGACTTTTGGACTGCTGGGACAGTATTGTCCCTACCCCAAAGCATCATCTTGTCCTTGAATGTGATTGCACCCTTTAGTACTCAAAACCTGCATGCAAAATTGTTTCCCCCCAGGTCACTCATCATTTTTACTAACCTTGTAGGAGGGAGATTTACTAAATGTTACCTTATTCATTTTCAGAATTCCAATTCTGCACCTGCTAATTCCCCTCCAGATACTCTCTAGACTAATAACTAAAGGAATAAGACATTCCCTTCTCCTGTGTACCACCATTCATGTTATTTAGCCTCGAAGCTCCCAAAAGGAATGAACAATGTTCCCCTTCAATGCTGATCCATACATTTGTGATAGAACCAGGAAGAATTGACTAGACTATTAAATAATCATAAGTTTTAATCCCACCCCAACTCCTTTTCACATGTACCCTAAATTTTCAAGCACAGGTGTTCTCATTTTTTGCAGTCATGTGCAGTGAAGAACTTTTAAATTTATACAGAGAATATCATTTTAGAAATATAATTTTCTCTTCAATACCCTGCTTTATGGACCAATAAAAATCTCTAGGTCTTAATTGAGGTCATGTAATTTCAAAAGGTGCTATAGTTTAACTATAGTTTCTATGAGTAGGGTATTATGGAGCAAACATCTGAGGGGACCTTGGTCATGCTTAATTTCCTCCTGCATTCTTGCTGGGTGGTCCTTTGAGTCAACAGGTTTTCCCCAGCTAAGAGGTCTCAATTGAACTGTCCCTTTTCTCTCTTCCCAGTACCAACTGTTTCTCTCTCTCTCTCTCTCTTCCCCTCTCCCCATCTCCCCCACCCCCTCTTTCTTTCCCTTTCTCCACTCCTGGGGTCAGATAGCATACTTGTCAGAATTCAGAAGGAAGGGGAGTGGAGGCTCTTTGCAAATTAAACTGGAGATAAAAGTACCAAACTATCCATGAAAAAGGGTCCTTGAGTCTCTCACCTGAGCTATCTGTTATACCTTCCTCCTCCAGCTTTGCTGAAGGGTAGCGTCTTAAGCAGCAACTCTTCCAGCCTAAAGAACTTAACAGCTAAGGTTTAAATTACGTCTTGGGAGGTAAAGTCTCAACTAGAAGCAACCCTGAATCATAACATGTCAGGGTCTGACACAGTCAGATAAGCATCAGTGCAATGGCAAGAAAACCATTTCACAATAAAATTTAAATGCAGAGGAAAAGACACTAAAACACCAGCAAAAGACAAAAGAAACCTGATATGGTGAGTAAAGAAGTAAGTGCTTTTCTGGGAAACTTTTTATTGCTGACCACACTGATGGATCCAGTCATCTGTCTACATGCTGAGCAGTGCTCCTAATTCACTGAGGGGATGTTTCAAACTTAAGTCAAAATGTAGAAATAGGATAGGATTTTCTTATTTTTCATATTTGTGAATTAAATATTATCTTAAATAAGGTTAATCATTTTATCAGTTTGTGGGAAAGGGTGTGGGACCAGAAGGGGCCAACAATAAAATAGAGCTCCCAGAATTTTGTTGTCCAGAAAACACCACAAGAGTCTTCTCTTTCTTCACCCAACTTGTCACTGAGAGGAAAGCAAATGTGTACTCACATACCCTGGGTATGTCTAGGAACTGAGCAACCTAGTTCCACAACTGTCCTGCTAACCTTTAAGGATGTAAGCACACTATACATGCATCTATCAGTGGGTCAGAAGCAAACTTTGGAAATTTTCACTTCTTTTCTCTTGGTGAGAAAGAAAAATTACACTAGTCCTTTATCAGTGATTTCACTTTCCATGGTTTCAGCTACCCAAGGTCAAAGGTGGCCTGAGAATTTTTTATACAGTAAGGCCTTGAGAGGGAGACCACATTCACATACTTTTATTTTGGCATGTTGTTATAATTGTTCTATTTTATTATTATTTTTTGTTCCGTGTTTACTGTGACTAAGTTATAAATTAAACTTTATCATAGCTATGGATGCAGTTTGAGGAAAAACAGTATATTTAGGTTTCCATCCTAACTGTGGTTTGAGGAATCCACTAGGATGTTGGAACATATCCCCTACAAATTACAGAAAATCCCCTGTAATTTATAATTTCATTTGTCAGGCCGATGGAAGAAGGATATTTTTTTTTTCTTATTCTAAAAAGAACATTTTCTTTGTAAGATAACATGTAAAACATAGGAATGCATAAATAAGCTATACTCTTACATATCATTATTTTATATGACACTTGGTCTCTCACTAATAGTGACATAATAAATCAGAGATTCATGTAAGCTACTAAAAGTGCAGGGGAAATATCTCATTTGTATAATTGTAAATTATAACCATAAAGAGAAATGACTGCGATCATATAGGTTTGGAAAGAACAATTCCCCCATATCCTTCAGTTTTTTCTTCTCTGCAGCTTCATTTTGTTCCCTTAACCGAGAATCGTACATTGGAAACCACAGCCATTTCTGCCATCCACATGGTGGAAACCAGACTGTGAAGCTAGACCAAAGGGCGTGGAAGAAGCTTACTGTCGGTTTCTTGCAGAGCAATACTGTTTCTCCAGAAGCTGTAATTCATCAGCTTCTGGTAAATAATGGACTTCTGAAACCTCCGTTAACCCAAACCCATGTCTGTAAAGACTGAGAAGGCAGAGGAATGGTAAAGAGTAAATTATTTGGAATGTTTAGTTGCCTTCAATCCCTGTGAAAAGGTACCTTTGTTTTTTGTTTGACATTAACTTTCTCTTATTATTTGTCACTATGTGATGCCTCAGTCAGCTAATTTACAGAGAACAGAGAGAGGCTGAGAGACTTTTCTAAACTTTGACTTGCAGGTATGGGAATTAGGGCTCCAGGGTAGGTGAGCTCGCTTCTTCACGTCTAATGAGTCCATGGGGCTGCAGGGGCTCACCACTGCAGATGTGCCAATAACTTGTCACTGCCTATGAGGAAGACGAGAGCTAGGATATCTAACAATAATCTAAATGGACTCTCCTATCTTTAAATGAACCTTTAACCCTAAGAATAGAACTCTGTCTTACACTTTGGTTCCTACTTCATTGTGAAAACTGAGGTCTTCACAGAAGAGAGATAATCCCTAGACTTCTACCACCACTCTACCGCCTTCACACCAAGCATTCCCCTATACTCTGACTTCCCAACTGTCCCTCTCCTCTCTACTCCAAAGATATCCAGCAGGTTTGCTTTCTTCTACATTATCAATAGTCCTCTCTACAGCATCAT